TGATTAGAGCTAAGGGCATACACTGTCTAACAACTTATATCAGTTTGATTCTATGAATTAATAAATTTGTCTTTACTTGTAAAAAAAGAAAATAAAAGACTACATTGTTTTGTCGGATACTTCTCTGACCTTAAAATCAAAACCTTGCTAGATGCTTGAATGATCAAAGGTGTTTCAATTGCATGCAACTAGGCATGCCTACAAATCTCTTGCACCCTTGGTGGGATGCTTAAAATGAATATAAACAAAGATTCAATATGGAAAATGGAGATCTAAATAATCTAGAAAACTCTGGTGGCGAAGATGAATGTTGGGTGGACTGTAGTGGCTTAGACGATGAAGACTATTGAAAATTCCTCGATTGGTAGCTTTGATGACAATCAAAGAGAGAGGGGCATGGATTTAAAAGACCTAAACACAGAGATACTCTTTATGGAGGAAAGAGATTAGAAGCATGGGAGGAAGCCTTTAACTTAAATAAAGGAAATCCATTTAAACCCACAAACAATTACAGATCTTGAACGAAGGAAGGGCTAAAGGAAACTTTCAGCGGTCAAAGTATACAAGGTGGAGTGACGGTACCCATCGGTCACAATACCTCTGTGTGAGTAGGCTTGAACCTATCCTCTGAGCAAAAAAGATTGTTTGGAAAAGTTTTTCACTTCGTTGTCACCCTCCCACTTTCCCTCAAGTATGATAGTCAATTTGGATTTTGTTACTAATCTGGTGTCTGTGCCTAAAGTAGGTGTTCAAGTGCCCAACTTTGAAACCGATCCAAGAGCCTGTGGTAGCAAAAAAGGGGTGGTGGTGGATGATGAAGAAATTGAAGTTATTGCAGGAGAAGGCGAGGAGGAGCAAGAAAGAATAAGAGGAGAGGTAATCTAGGAGTGAATAATTTCTAGTTTTGAGCAGTTAAAGAGGAAGGATGAGCATTTGCTACTAGATACAGGGGAGAATAAAGGAAATGGAGAGGAAGAAAAGGGTAAGAAGTTATTAGACTCGGAACAAGAATATAGTAAAGAGACCCTAGATGTAGCAAGAGAAGAGATAGAGACTGTAGTAGGCTTCGTGGAGAAACTAGGTGCAAACTGAAAACCCGAATGCTCCAAAAGCCCTCATCAGAAATTCAGATGGTCATAAAAAAGCCAAAAAGAAAAAAAGTTAAAGGAGTTGAATGAGATACTGAGAGGTTGGAGAGGAAAAGGAAGTAAGTAAGGTCTTCCAGCCTTGGAGGTTAAGTTGATGTGATTTCTAATGAAAATTCTGAGTTGGAATGTTAGAGGTCTGAGTTGGCAGAATTTTACAGATGGGCTAGAAGTCTATGGAGATCCAGAGTTCTGAGTTGGGCTATGTCACCTTCTTGGGGAGCTTTAGGAGGAATTATAATGTTGTGGAGACTTGGATAAAATTAAATCAGAAAATAGTTGTTTTCTGATTCAGTTCAGTAGAAAAGTGGAGAAAGAAAGGTTACGAATAGAAGTAGAGAGAGAAGAGAAGAAAGGGTTCGGCAGAATTAATTCTCTAGCTGCCCACTAAATCTTATTTATATTTGTGATCTTTACAAGGATTGTAGTACTTTAATACCCTTACTTAAAAATAAAAGAAAACAAAAAAGGCCCGATAGGCCCAACTATCATAACTGAAAAGTAAATAAATAAACAACAAAAATAAAGTGTGGACTGGAACCCCACACACACTAATAGTCTATCAACTATCTCTACACTCCCCCTCAAGTTGGGAGTAGATATTTGTCATACCCAACTTGCGTAAATCTGTCTTCAACCTGATTTTTGAGACTGCTTTAGTAAAGAAATTAGCTAGCTGCATGTCGGAGGAAACATAGGGAAGACACACTTCTTGAGATGCAACTCGCTCTCGGATAAATGTCTCTCCAACTCGATATGTTTTGTCATGTCATGCTGTATTGGGTTGTGGGCAATGTTAATTGCTTCTTGATTATCACAATACAACATCAGAGGTTTCTCATAGTCAATTCCCAGTTCATCAAGCAAAGATTTCAGCCATAACACTTCTGCAACACTATTGGCCATGGACCTGTATTCAGCTTCAGCACTGGAGCGAGCAACAACATTTTGTTTCTTGCTTCTCCAAGAAACAAGGTTCCCCCTACAAATGCACAATACCCAGATGTAGATCTTCTGTCATCAATGGATCCAGCCCAATCAACATCTATATATACCTCTATTTCATGTAACCACTATTCCTGAAAAGTATGCCTCTCCCTTGGCATTTCTTCAAGTAAACAAGTATTCTTTCCACCGCAAGAAGGTGAGTGGTCCTAGGAGAATGCATGCACTGACTGACAGCATATGAAATGTCTGATCAGATCGTGTTGGGCAGAGATAAAGAAGTTTCCCACCTTATGCACTTATTTTATGGTTCAATTCAATGGGTGCTTCAGCATGCTTTACTATTAACTTTCCAGTTTCTTCCAATAAGTCAATGACATACTTTCTTTGAGAGATGAAAATGCCATGCTTAGATCGAGCTACCTCAATTCCCAGGAAATAGTGCAATTCTCCCAAGTCCTTCACTTCAAATTCTTTGTGAAAATTCTGCTTAAGAGAGTTTCTCACTAATATCACTTCCCGTCACCACAATGTCATCCACACAGATAGCAAGTAAGGTCAAGGAGGAGTCTGTCTTCTTAAAAAAGAGAGTGTGATCTGACTGAGCCTGCATGTAACCAAACTTTTCCTAGGCTAGTCTAAACCTATCAAACCAAGTTCTTGAGATTGTTTCAACCCATATAAAGCCTTCTTTAGTTGACAAACTTTCATTCCTGCTTCTGTACTGTAAAAACCCGGGGGTAACTCTATGTACACCTCCTCCTGCAAATCTCCATTTAGAAAAGCATTCTTGACGTCCATCTGAAATAGTGGCGAAGAGAAGTTTGCATCCATAGATAGCAGGATTCTGATAGTGTTCATCTTGGCAACTGGTGCAAAGGTTTCCATATAGTCTATGCCATAAGTTTGTGTGAATTCCTTTGCAACCAATCTGGCCTTATATTCTCTACAAAACCATCAGCATTATATTTCAATGTAAACACCCATCTTCATCCAATAGGTTTCTTCCTCTCATGTTGGTCAAATAGTTCTCATGTATTGTTCTTAACAAGTGCATCCATCTTTACTTTCATCACTTCTTTCCACTCAGGTATCAAAAGAGCTTCTTGCACTGTTCTGGGTATAGGAGTGGTAGCAATAGTTGCCTCTAAGCTACTTAGGATTACCTTTGGGAGCCAACCCAAAGGGCTAAATAAAATCGACCCTAGCAAATCTCCTTGTGTATTATATATCAGTCTTTAAGATGCCGGAGGGAGTAAGCAGAAAGGAAATTTATCTCTACTAGGGAAGTGGTAATGGAGAATGCCTTAAAGTATGGGGGTCTTGGAATAAGAAATATTCAGAAAGGAAATTTATCTCTACTAGGGAAGTGGTAATGGAGAATGCATTGAAGAAAGAGACAAACTATGGGCAAAGGTGGTGGTGAGTATATATGGGCTCTTGAACAATGGATGGAATGCTGGTTCACTGCATAGGGCTACCTGAGCCTCTCCTTTGAAAGCCATACAAGCGATTCTACCTTGTTTCTTGCCTCTTGTAAGGTATGATTTCAATTTTGGTAATTTAAACAAATTTTGGGATCAGAATTGGTGTGTGAACTCTTCTCTGTATGACTTATTCCCCTCTTTGTATGATTTATCGTGTTTCAAGAATGAGCGTATATCTACTTTCTTAGTCTCTTCAAACTCAACTAAAGGTTTTGATTGGAACCTTCCTTAGAAGGGGAATATGGATTTAGGAGTTGATTGTGTGCTCTCTTTACTCCAACCCTTGAAGGAATTTTCCTTGATCCTGAGAGACTTGGTGAAGGAATTTGGACACCTTCCTCTTCGGGTCTCTTCTCCTGTAACTCGTTCCTCAAAGTTTTAACCCAACCTTCCCTTAGGCTGTGTTTGGTTTGAAGGAAAAGATGGGGAAAGGAAGGGAAAGCCAGGGAAACCTATACAAGGTTTGTACATGTTTTCCTTCCTTTCATTTCCCCTACCTTTTCCTTCAAACTAAACATAGGCTTGCGGCATTATGTTGGGAAGTTGTTCATGAAAGAATAAATACTTTTGACTGGCTACAAAGGAAGAGGAAACTGTGGTGCCTTTCGTTTCTGGTATTTCGGAATGGCTTTTCTCCTTATTTGAATGCAGGTGGACTCCTCTACAAATATCAATAGTCTCTTTAGTCTAACCTCCTGTCCTTGGCCGAGGCGAGGAATATATGCAACATCATGTGGAATAGTGCTAGGGTGGTAGTAATCTGGGCAGTGTGGCAAGAAAGAAATGCAAGGATTTTTACAGAAAAGGAATGAACAAAAGAGGCCTTGATTGAATCAATAATGATTAGAGTGGCTCACTGGCTGAAATCCTTAGAAAGCTTCTCACATACCTCCATTGATGACATTACAGAAATTGGAAGGGGGTGGCAGACTCAAATGTCAATGAACAGCCCGTTATTCCTACCTGGTCCCCTCCTAAAAGAGGATTTATCAAGCTTAACTTGGATGGAAGTAGGATGGGAAACCCGAGTACGTCAGGGATTGGAGGTGTAGTCAAGGACGAGGAGGGTAAAGTGCATGCAATGTTCTCACGCCCAGAAGGTGAGGGTGATTCACTAAGAGCGGAAGTAATGGAAGTCATGGAAGGGGTTGGGAGAAATCAAATATTTTGGCCACAAATGTAATTTTTGATTAATTTTTAAAGGGGAGAGATAAGAGGGCTTGTCTCTCACTGACTTTCTCTTGTACTTTTTCCTTTAAATTGAATTTATGGTTAACAATTATTGATAAAAAATGGAGATTTAGATAAGAAAAATATTTATGGTTCTTTCTCTTAAGCAGCTTCTATTGTCCTTAATCCTTGTTCTCTCTTGTTATAATATACAGTTCTGTATTTTATGAATTTTTCTGTTTTTGTTTTGCAGTTCATCTTGTTGGAGCATATCTAAACTGGTACGACTGGGCCTAGAACCTAACCTGTCTAGGCTACCTCACTTTGTTCTATGTCCCGCGTTTCAGAATGATCATCAAGTAAAGGAGTGGAGTGTGTTTATGAATTTTCTCCAGAGATACAAGAAGGTATTTCTATAATACAATTAATTGTTTGCTATTCTGGGGTCCGTGGGGCTCCATTTTTCTGTATGTCACGGTGTGATTTAAATATTCCATTTATAACTTTATGGTTCCTCAAATCTATTAATATCTTGTATTCTTTTTATATCATTATGTAAATGCCTACTCTTTGCTTTTAAAGGTTGCGATTGTGAAATCTGGGTCATGTGTGTTTTACATACTTCCACCCGAGGCCAACACGGATTTTAGCAGGGCTATTGTGAAATTCGAACTTAGTTTGGATGTTACAAAACATGGTGCATCAGGTGAGCTGTCACTTTAGCAGGATTTTTCGACGATAATGGTGCACTCAATATGTGGACTTGGATTTTATGTTCGCTTACATGCATAAAACTCTTTGTTTTTGAACTTGCAAGACCGGTGCTAGTAGTTCTTAAAAGAAGAAAAGTCTTGCTGATCTAGGATCACTAACTCATAGTAATACATTTTTTTGTTAGTAAATAAAAAAGAAAATTTTGTTAAAATAAAAACAGGTATTACATTAAGAAATCCTTTGCCCCAAACCCATATATAAAGCATCAGCCCAAAAATCAGACCAAACAACTCCTTTGAGGTATCTCTGAACTCTTGAAGAATCAAAATCCATTCCAAAAGCGTTGAACCAGGCCATACCTTGATTCTGCTACTTGCCTTTATTTTAAAGATTCTCCTGTTTCTTTCTTTCTAAACCTCCCAACCATGGTTTGCAATTTCAATATCGATAGATATTTCATCATGTAGAGATGGAGAAATTTCAGGGATACTTTGCTAATTTCGCTAAGATATTTGGAAAATCTAAAAGTTCACGAAAGGTTTCTAGAAACATGGAATTAATTATTAAACCTTCAAGGAATCATTAGAATAAATATAACTGCACATTTAAGGCTTAAAAGACCATAGCAAAGAACTGTATAAATCAAACAGGAGAAAAGTGAGAGACTTTTGGTATGTTTCTCTGACTCCGTTTTAGTCTTCTAGGCATGTTCTCTTCATTAAATATGTCAATTACTTTCCATTGTGACTTTTTCCTTTTTTTTGTTACTATATGTTTTAATTATTAAGAATGCTCTTTTGCAGTTATACACATTTTACTTTTTCTTTTGAATTATAGTGACTAAGTAAGTGAATAATATAAAAATAGTAAGCCAATTATTAAATCACTAATTCCCCACGGTTCTTTTAGTAAAATATTTATAAAACTTTATAATGATTTTAACAATATATTGGAAAATTTTTAATAATATTCTAAAATTTTAAACCTTAAATTTATTCTCTATCAATGAAATTTGAAACATCGCCGACATATTGGAAAAATATTGGAGATATTTGGAAAAAGAGGTTCCTAGAAAGTTTCGTATCGCCACCTAGCAAAATGGGGATATATCAGCAATATCATCGATATTGCAAACCGTGTTCCTGTAAAACGAATGTAGCCTGATAAAATTTTTGCTTTTTTATTTCTTTGTATGGTCAGCGAACATGCAAATATCTCACATGAAGATCTTGGATTCCATGCCTCTAGATCAAATAAGCTAAAAAAGTAGCCCCCCAAAAATTGTGAGAACCTGCATTTAAAGCAAAGATGGAATACATCCTCTACCATGGTTCTACACAGTAGCACTGATCCCTCTTTAGTAGAGTAAAGCTTTGCCTTGGAGAAAAAGTTTGTGGAATCTTCAAAGTGGAGAAAAGCTTTGAAGGTTGAAGCAAAAGATTTCATATTCGAAGATATATGGATCAAAGGGCTGCTGAGTTTGAAGATCAGGGAGGCAAAGAAAGCCATGGTGCTCCTGGGAGGTGCTGAAGTGGTTGAATGGTTGCAGAAGTTTGTAATGGGTGGAATGCAGGAAGATTGTTAAAGGTCTCTACATAACACTATAGGAGTTTTTTGGAAGAGGCCAAGGCTGGAAGTAAGTGGCTGATCTATTGAGTGTTTTTGTACTATGGTTGAAAACAAAATGTTCAAAGCTTTAGCAGGAAAAAGAGAAGTGGCTAGAAGAAATGAAAAGGAAGAAAGGAAGATAACTTGGCAATTGTGGAAAAGGAAGAAGCAGCTGTAAACAGATAGCAACTGGAGGAAAGGAGTGGGGGAAGAAATATGTGGTGGAAACTTCGAACCTGCCAAAAAGCTTTGAGATGGGACTCATTTTAGAGGCGATGCTTTTACTAGTGGCCGATGCTTTTAGTAGACTCATTTTAGAGGCGTTTAGGACTGGGTCAACAAGAGGGTGGAGAGTAGGTAGAGAAAGAGTTCCAGTTACTCATATTTAATTTGTATATGACATCATAATCTTTTGTGATGGGTGATTTGATGAAGGTGAGAAAACTGAAGAATTTAATAATTCTCTTGAAGGTGAGAAATAGAGGGGAGATGGAGTCTATTGCAGCATGTCTTGATTGCACTTGGTTGCAGTGGCCTTTATCCTATTTAGGACTTCCCATAGGTGTCAACACAAAGGAAAGTAGGTTTTGGAGCCTTGTGGTGGAAAAGTTTGAAAAAAGGTTGGCAGCTTGGAAGAGAAACTATATATCCTTGGGGGGTAAAGTAACCTTGATTAAAGCAACACTAGCCAACTTGCCAAATTATTTCCTATCAGTCTTTAGGATTCCTAACAGAGAGACTAAAAGGCTAGAAAAATTGATGAGAGTCTTTTTATGGAGCCAGGGGAAGAGAAAAAAGATCATTTGATTAGGTGGGAAGTGGTGAGCCACTGTAATAAAGAAGGGGGCTTAGGGTTAGGGAATGCAGTGAGTAAGAATAAAGCTCTTCTAGGCAAATGGCTTTGGAGGGAGCCCTTGGAAAGAGAGAGGTTATGGCATGAAGTGGTGAAAAGTTTTCATGGCTATTCAGAATCTGGTTGGGATGCTGGGGTATCCCGAAGGGCTTTGCTCACAACACCTTGGAAGGCAATTTCTGGTACTCTCCCTAAATTCCTCAGGTATATAAGGTATGATGTATGCTTTGGAAATTCTGTCCTCTTTTGGGAAGATGTTTGGGTGCCGTTTCCCTTCCCTCTATTCAATTTCCCTCTTTAAAAAGGAACTTGTTTCAAGGTTCCTATCCCCCCGGTTCTCCCATTGGCTTTAAACTAGGACTTTGGGTTTCGTAGAGGTTTAAGGAATGACGAATATGCTTATGTTTCCAAGATTTTGCTTCTTCTAGATTCTGTGTGTTTGGAACCCCCCAACCTGATAAAAGGATTTGGTCTTTGACACCGAGTGGCTTCTTTAGTTGTGCCTCTTTCTTTAAATTCCTTTGTTCCATCCCTTCCTCTTGGGTTTTCCTAGTTTAAGAAATCTGGTCAAAGCTAATTCCTCCTTAAATGACTGCTTTTCTGTTGGGAACCCTATTACAGTAAGATCAATACTTTGGAAAACTTGCAAAAGAAGAGACCTTATCTGTGTTTATCCCCAAATTGGTGTTTCTTGTGTAAAGTGAAGAGTGAGGACTGTGACCATTTGCTTATATCTTGTTTCTTTGCTTCTAATACTTGGATTTGGGCTTTAATGTTATTGGGTGCAGGTGGAACTTCTTTTTGAACCACATGCTTTAAGGAAGCTAACAAAAAGAGGAAATTTAATGTGGAAGTGTATGAGAGCAGCTAGTTTTTGGACAATTTGGGATGAGAGGAATATGAGAATATTTAAGGAAAGAAGCCTTGTTGAAGTAAAGGAGTGTATCACGACAAGGACAATTTCCTTGGTGAAAACTTCAGATCTGTTTGTGAACTATTCCTTTGATGATTTAAGGAGAAATTGGGCAGTTGTGGCATCCACAATTTCCACAAAGAATTCTCTACAAGCAGAATGGAAACCTCCCCCGGAAGGAGTGGTAAAACTGAATTTTGACGGAACCAGTCAAGGTAATCCAGGGCCCTCGGGTATAGGAGGGATTCTGAGAAATAAGGACAACCACATCATATCTTTATGCTTAGGACTAGTGGGGATTGATGACTCTACAAGGGCTGAGATACTAGTTGTGGTACAAGGAATACAAGTTGACAAGTCAACTGAAGTGGAGAACTTGATTGTTGAAGGGGACTCCTAGGTGGTACTGTGGTAGTGGGTGGCTGTCAAACCCATAAACAGACTATTGGGGTTATAGGGATCTTCTGAAGAAAGTTTGTTGGCTTACAAGGAATATGTCAGTCAATTTTTGTTGAGTTGGTCCAAGCTGTTTTTTATTTAGTTAGGAAGTTGGGCTTTAGGCCCATTAGTTTATGTTTTTTTAAGTTGTGACTGTTCAACTATATTAGTAGCCGCCCTACTAAGGGCATCCTCGTAATTTCTCATCCTTTAAGTTAAGTATAAATATAATGAGAGGTAGGCGGCTAGGGTTAATTTTACAATCCTGGTCGACTTTCCTACTCTTTTCTTCTTTTCCTTTCTTCTCTACTGCTGAAATCTTCATCTTCCCCCTCTTTCTTTTCACAAGAAACACGACTAAATCTGCAATTAGTGATTTCTACTTGGTATTAGAGCGGACCGAAGGTTCCTTGAAGATGTTCCTCATGCAGCCCTAGATCGGTCGACTGCATGGTGATTTAAGAGGCTGATCGAAGCTCTCAGGTAAGCCCAATTTTTGGATTTTTTTGGTGGATCTGTGTGCCCTGTAGCTGGTCTAGGGTTTCTCATCAAAATCATGAAAAACTAGAGAAAGGGGAAGAGTCCTGCTTTTGTTGGACTCTTCAATTTTGACCTAGGAAGTGGCGCCCTAATTTTTTAGGGTTCCTTGCAGTTTTTTGTAAGGGGCGATTCAAGTCCTGCCTGATTTGGAGGCTTTCTAGAGAGAGCGGCTGCCTCTTCTCTCTCTTCTCCCGTCATACAGAAAAGGAATCTTTTGTGGGAAGAAAGTCTAGGACATCAGAAAGGTGTTGGTTCCAAAAAGTGTTTTGTTTGATCTTGTTGCAAATTTCAGTTATTTTCTTTGCATTTTTTGAGAAGCATGGAGGATCACGGAGTTGAAAATAAGCCCGAGAGTGAAATGAGACTAGTGAGAGGAGGTGCTGGAGACCCTTTCAGGGCTGGGACCATTACTACAGTTAGGTTGGATGGTGCAAATTACTTAGAATGGTCACAATCTGCAAAGATGGCCATTGGTGCTCGTGGGAAATTAGGGTATATCATTGGTGAAGATGTGAAACCCGAAACTAGCAACTCCCGGTGGGTACATGAGATTTATATGGTGATGACTTGGTTGTGTAATTTCATGTTGCCCAATATAAGTAAAATTTTTTTATGGGCAAACACTGCTAAGGAGATATGG